TGTCAAACCTATCACTCAAAAGACCCCAGCGAAGCTTCTGAAAAGTGCCATGTTAGCGAAACCTCGTCCCGCGTGCCACATCATGCGAAGATCAGTACATGCAAGATTTTGAGTCCACTCGTTGGAGGTGCTTCCTGCAAGGAAAAGCTTTGTGTTGCGTAACAGGCGCCTGGCAGACTCGCCTGGCAGGTGACCAGGTCAGGCGTGCCGGGCAAGTCTGACGTGCTTGCGCACACTTCGACTCGCAGGTGGACACAAATCTAGCTCCTTCTGAATCTGAAGTGCGTGGGTTCAGTGCATGTCGGACTTCATGACCACCCAGGCTACTAAATTGGCCCACTCAGTCGCGGTGATAAAAACCCCCCATGTCGGGGCACCTACGTTGCGCAACAGGTAGGGTTTGCCCTTCAATCCCTGTACCTGTTTGCTTCGAGGTTGCTTCATGCACTCGCGGCGCATCCAGCAGTGAGCTGCAGAAAACTGGCCGGTGCTTTCAGGTGCCACGTGGGGATGTCGCAGCCGGCCCAGTCCAAGCTGTGCAGGTTCTGGCTGGCTGCTGGCGTGCAACAGAGCTATAGCTCTATAGAATAGAACTATCAACTGAGCTACAGCTAGAGGGAAAAGTGTGTTGTTTGGGTCCCGAAGCACAGGACGCGAGCATCTTTTCATGGTAGGGGTCGCTGGACATGCTGGCTGAGAGCGGCAAAGCCACGACTACAACTTCGTAGAAGTACGAACTCCGCATGCCGCAACAAGGTAATATCCACATGGAGTACGATTGGTTTGGGCATGGGTACAGGCTTTCGTGGCGCATCGGCTAGTGTTTTCACATTGTCGTGTGTGCGGCATCCAGGCACGTCGCTTGTCTGCCGTTCGCTAGGGAGGTAGTAGATGCGTCGCTTGAGGAGTGGAGCCTCTTGACATTGGTCACGCACCTTGGTGCCATTCAGCCACTCCCGCATGACATCAGCATAGCGCTCCAGCCCGTGTTCTCTTTCTGCCCGTTTTGGGCCCGAAAGTTGCTGGAAACATCGTGCAGTCAGAGTCTTGACAGGCCGATTGTCTGCCGCTCTTGTCACTTCGAGTCTTTGAGGTCCCGCATGGCATGGTGCTCCTGCTCGGTCAGAGGATGGTCATGGTTGAAGCACAAGGGCTTGCTAGCCGTTTCCGTTTTGGGGATGTCAGTCAATGCACTGACAGGCCTCTGGCAGAGACAAGCCGCATTGCCAGCAACAGCCGCCTTCAGATCCGTCAGATCCTGTCAGGTGGCCTCCGCCCCTCGGCGCTTCGCGTTATTCCAGAGGCTAAGGGCCGGTGTCACCCGCACTCGCCGTGTTCTCGCTCACGATGCCCCGTAGCCGCGCTGCCGCTACGGTGGCAGATGGTACCGGGTGCGGTTCTCATGTCGGGTCCGCTGCCCTTGCCTGGCGTTCCTCGCAGCTTAGTAGCTCAGCTAACCGACTCCCATCGCTTGCAGAAACAGCTTGTGCTGTCCGTGCGGTGATCTGCGTTTTAGGCGATCCAAAGATGTCCTCCGCACGTGTTGGAGCTTGGGACTTGGCGCGCTGACACAACAATCCCGGCACTCGCTGCGTGGAGTGGAAAAAAAAGTAGGCTTTCAAGCTGCTGTAGATACCATGAGGAGACTGTCGTGCGCAACTGGCATATTCGGATTTTGAGCACCCAGCCTGCACGGTAAGGAAACTATTTTAATTGAATTTTCCGCAATTCAAAAAGTAGTTTCGTGAATTTTGCTTAGAAATCTATATGCTTAATAATGAAAAATTTTGTCTCATTAATTTATAATCACTTCAAATAAGTAGCTTGCGCGGACTCCAAATTTGAATGTATTCTCTGATTTTTTTTTCGTATTTATATTGAGTATTCTTCACGGCACGGTAAAGAAATTATTTCAAGATGTTAATTGTTATTTCGATTTTCGAATATCAAAATTTCTACGATTAAGATATTATTATAATATAGAATTTTATATATATTTTTTTATCTTTCGATTTTGGGAGTATAATTTAGTATGAACTAATTATAATTCTAGAAAATATATTATAGCAAAAAGATAATTATATCTTTAATTTTACTTCATAAGATTTTGGGCAGAATATTATTATCTATATAAAAAATATCTTGCTCGAATAGAAAATTAAATAGGAATATTTGAAATCTATATTTCTGATAAATAATTTTCATATTCAAGAAATTATTAGTTTGTGTCGTTTTTTTATATATTTGCTCGAATTTCGACTATATAACCTGTATTATGGATTATATTATTCTGCATATTCGTATTTCTGATAAGGATGATTACATGAGCAGGAAAATCTCGCGTATATTTGAATTGTATTATTGAATTTCTCTTATTCAATATTTAAGAATCGATTTTTCATATAATATGCAAGATAAGCAAATTATGACACAATCGTATTTAGATATTCAAATTGCTATTTCTTTTCTATATAATATATAAATTGGCATATTTAAATATTTCTTTATATTTTCTAATAAGCAGCCTGCACAGAATTAAATTTTACGATATTTTATTAATTCGGATTTTCTTCTCATAATTTACGCGGTAAAGATATTTTCATATTTCATGCGGCGATTTCTTCGCACTTGCCGAAAGCAATCTTCATAATCAAGAAATTATCTCGCATTTCTTGGCTATTCGTAGATCCTTCAAAATATATGGTGATTGTCATATATCTTTATTTTATGGAATTTTAGACATATAACAACTATGGTGCAAAAATTAATTATAAAAAATCATATGATATATATTTAAGAATACTAAATATATTCTATTTCATGATTTTTTTTCTATCAAAAAATATAATCATATATATTTTCTATATATTCTTTCCGAATGTCTATTTTTTAATCGAGATAAGTATAAAAATTAAAAATAAATCCTTTAAAATTTTTATTCATTCTAATTTAACAATTTTTGAATTTATCTTATAGAATTTTACCGGATTCAATAAAACAAATCGATAATTTTCAAATTCCCTATTCATTTATAAGAATCCCAAATATATTCTAAATATTTAATTTTTTAAGTCCCTATTTCAATCTCATATATTTTATATCAACAAATAAAAATATATTTTTTCGACAAGAAAATTATAAATATATTAATTCAATCCTTATTATATTTGAGTATCTAGTTGCCTCAGCCTGTCATATATCAATGAGGAGTTAGATTAAAACGAATCAAATCTCGGTTTGAATCTTAGTCATGATTCATCAGATTGAAAAATGACTGAACTATATCGAAAAAATATATTCGGAAAAAATAATCGATATAATTATATAATTGTCCAGAAGATTTGTGATTTTTTGTGTCACGTGCACGCGGCGGTCGGAGAAGGATTGTTCTGGTTGTAAGACCTGAATAGATCAAATTCCCTCAGCCCCAAAGTTCCTACGTGTGTTTTGTAGTTCACCGACGAAGCAGGCTTTCTGTCGTATTTTCCGCATATCAAACCCATACTTGCAACCTCCAGCCCCAATGATCCTTTTCCGCAAGAAAACAAAGAGTGCCTTTCGGTTGCATGAAATGCCCGCCCAGCATTGATGCTAATGCTTTGTGAAAAGAAGTTACTCCTCATGACATGTGCCTCACTGTTGCACGTCGTTGTGAAGTCACATGAAATGTTGTTTTGGGTTCCATGCCAGGAAGTGCTGCGGGTAGGTCCTAGGAATCAGCATCATCATCCTCGTCACCATCACAACGGTATCCGATCCCGTTCTTGTCCCGGCCTAGTTTTCCTGTCCCTCTGCTGCACTGTGCGATTGCAATTCATTGCAGGTATAATAATGCGTGGTTTCTCAGACTCCGCAGCAGGCTTCCCACCGTTCAGGATGTCTCGACACTGAGGGATATCTTGAGTTCCTTGTTTGGTGGGGCTTCCACATCGCTGCAAAGAAGACGATGTGTCTGGCAGGTTCGCTCTCTGGGCCAGGCAAGAGAGGCGCGCGACGAACGTTGCTAGGAATAGGTACAACAGCACTGCAATTGCGACAAGAAGCACGTCCAAACGCAGTGCAACTCAATTGAACTACTCAGTTATCACCAAAGCTGAAACTGCGTTGGCGAAAAACACTCCGTACGAACCCCTCGACGTGATGGTGGGACCCTTTGCCCTCTTCTTGCTCCTTCCCTCTTCTTGCTCCTTCTGTTGGAAGACTTAAGAGGACAACCCGGCCTGGCTAGCTGGAGGAGCTGGATGAGGATGACGAGCTGGAAGGGCTGCCGCCATGCTTGGTTTTCCTCTCGCAGCATTGACATTAGGTCATTAGCTTCTCGACAGATCTGCGGCTCCTCAGAAGCTTTTCCGACTTCTTGAGCGCCTTGCACAGTGAGACATGAGCAGTGCGCAAGTTGCTGCGACATGCCGCTATTCTGAATACTATTCAGACATGACATAAAGGCTCCAATTCGGCCTTCTCGGCTTTGGCAACTTTCGCTTGCAGCTTTTGCATCCTCAGACAGGTGGTACGTCATGACATCGATGGCTTCCGCATCGACAGGTGAAGATCATTTGGAAGAGGCTCTTCTTCAGCTTCTTAAACTGCTTCCTCTCGTCCTGATGCGCATCGCGATGCACAGATGCTTGAACAATCGCGACATAGTGATCACAGGTAAGGACATGCAAGGACGAAGACCAGCGTTTCCAAGAGCTTGCATTCCACCACAAGACCCCACAGGAAGCATGCACATGCTGAAGTTTTGCTAAAGTTTGGGGTTTGGGAAATGGGGCTTAATGATCCTCAACGGCTTATCATGTTCTTCCCGTGTGCCCGCACATGCAAGCAGAAAGCACGGCATCGTGAGCTTTGCCCCAACAAGCATGCTACCCGCTACTGTACCGCGGCTTCGAATCTAATGATCTGCTCAAGGTCTTCGTCTCGAGTTGTTCCCAACATTAGCACGCCTCCTGGCCCCCGACTCGACCTCGCGCTCGCTTTCTGAGGCGTTGATACGAGTACCCTCAATCCATCTCCCATCCCATCCCTTTCTCCGCCTTCTTCCCTGCAAAGCCACCTAGATCCAAGAATTTCACATCCAAGCATGGGTCCTTGCTCATGGATTTAAGCATCGCTTTCTGCATGGCTTTCTTCTCCTGGCGGTGATCTCATGAGCTGGAAAGGCACCCGGAGCCGTGCACTGCTGTGGCTCCTGCTTCTTCTCCTTCTTGGTCTTCTCTGGAGGCATCTGTGGTGGTGGCAGGGGAGGAGGAAGTGGGGGAGGCGGCGGTGGCGCCGCCTCTGCTGCCTGCGAGGTACCCATGGACGACGGCTCCAACCCAACGGCCCAGACCTCCTCCAAGTCATCGAAGACCGGCGCGGAGGTGGCTGCAACCTTGGCGCGGAACCTGGGACTTCGGAGCTCACGGCTTCGCTATGCTTCGCTCCATGCACAGGCCAAAGGCCAAGAGGCTGGTCCCTCAAGCGATAGAGGTCCAGCTCCTGCCAGGAATCCCCGACCCCTTCCCTTCTGCAACCGCCCAGCCTCAGCCTCAGAGCGACTCTCAAAGCTCCTCGGAGTCGCTCCCGGCCAAGGGCGAGCCGTCAGCGTCCTGCGCTCCCTTCGTCGTGTCGAAACGAACACCTCAATGTCAACCAGAGACGTTCGGCTTCGGGGAAGCTTACATCCGACGACGACCAATGACATCCGAGAGCGAGGGCAAAAGCAAGGAACGCCAGAGACAGGAAGCTGGCGACACGCTTCCGCCACTGGACAACTAAACACAGAAACACAATGAAACACAGATACCAGTCTAAAAGGGGACCCAGTCAACGAGGAACGAGGGAAGGCCAATCCGTGGTTGCGCCTGTGGCCTTCCGCTTCTCTTTTCGCTCCGGAGCCTGGAAAAAGCGACTTCCACGTCACAATGCACGCGGGGGGGGGGGGGGGGGNNGGGTCTTCGAGAAATCATGGATCTCTGAGAATTCTTCCGGTTGCCGCCGACCTGCGCCTCCTCGAAGGTCTCCTTGGGAGCCAAGGCCCTCTTCTCCCGAGCCTTGCCTGGAGCTCGGGGTTGAGAAACTTGCAGTCAGCTTCCGACACTGCAGTAATAATAACGACGCTCGCGATACTGATTATCAAGGACAAGATGCATGATGAACAGATTGCGAGAACGGATGGAGATACCAGCATGTTGATCACACTCAGCAGCTTTGGAAGTGCAGCAGCAAGAGCAACAACAGCCGAAGTAGTGTCAGTGGATGTCAGCGGTATCAGCGCGCGTGGCCCGTGAAACATCATGGAACCTGCGAGCGGCCAAGGCTCGTATGACCTCCTCGTCTGCGGCGGCCTCCTGGCCAAGAGAATCCGGAAACATACATGCAGAATCATGCATAGTCAGCAGAAATGGAAACTGCGGCATCTGCAACGACTTAGCTCTTGTGGTCGACACACGACCAGGAAGAAACCATCCCAGGTTTGCACATCTGCACATCGAACTCTGGACCGAGCCGACTCCGACACCCAAAACCCATCGCAGGGGAACGGAAGGAAACATATCACAATATCTTTTCAAGTAGAGTTTTAACTCCTGCCCGGCTCCTGCTTCGCCTCCTCATCAGCTCTTCGAAGGACCTCTCTCTGCATGTACCACAACCCGAAAGCAGGAACTTCCCGTAAAGCCCAGCTCTTGTGGCGGTTAGTCTCAGGCACATATGATGATGATGACAATGATGATGGTTTTTGTCTTGCATAGTGTAACCGTGTAACCAGGGTGAAGGGCATCCGTTTGCCTGATGGGGCCTTCTGGCATGGGCATTCACAAAGCGTGGTGATTCTCCGAAAGATGATGCGTGCAAGTCGGGGCATCCGAATCCGAGTTGGCATTAAGAGTCAGTCAAGCCGAAACGCGCAGATTATTTCTAAACGACGCAGGCTGTTTACACTGTGAAGGGTTTGGTTGTCGCCACCTGAGCTGTCATTATGAACACAATATATGCACCTTCTTTGGACAGCTGCAACGACCCTCCAGGATCTTGCATGTAAATGGCCCAGGTACAAGAAAGCATTCCAGCGGCACACTATAGAAATGCGTAATGACGCGGCAAGGCCTCGTCGCGTTTTCGCCGCATGCGTGCCGCCTCCTCCTTTGCGGCAAGTTTGGCCTTCTCCTCCTTGCGGCGCTCATTCGGTTGTAGTCTTGCAACTTGCATGAGAAATCTGGTACGTTCGTCCGGACAGTCACTGTCCTTTGGGAGCTTCACGGTTTCTACTCTCTAGCGCAGGGGTCTAGGAGTTGAAAGCTTTGGACGCCTGGGTGGGCATTCATCAACTCCAAAAGTTTAGGAAGCAGTCGACCTTGTGCATCGAAGATTAAGCTGATCATGACCATCAGTGTCCTTATTCCGACTACCATGATCACGACCGTGACCAGGTTTGATAGAAGAAGAAGAAGAAGAGGATGATGACTAGTCTGATGACAAGTCTACTCTCGACAAGTGCTGCAAGGCTACAACTGGGTCCACATTGCATGTGCATCAAGCGGATGATCAGCGGAAGTGACAGCCTCTGTCTCTCTGAAGCCACGAAATAGTAGCCGAGGTGCAAACGGGAACGACGGATTTTGCACGAACTGCAATTCAGCACGATAAGCTGGTGACAGCGAGATAGCTCCACGAGATTGATCTGCCACAGTCAAATCCACCCTGCCGAGACCCGTCCTCAGCCTCACGCTCCTTCTTCTTGGCCTCCGCCTCGGCCAAGGGGAGCGATCTTGGGTTTGCAGCTTGCTTAGGCTATCGGTGTGCATAAGGCATAACAGCTGCCTTGCGAGCCGCATCTGCCGCATCCTGCACGATGTCCCTGCAACGAGAAAGGGATGGGAGCTTGGGTCTGAAGCCATGGCTACCAGTGGCGGCTAGAGCGAACTCATGATCGGACGTACGCAGCAAGCGCAATACGACTGTGCAAAGAGATCCAATAATGTAAGAGCGCGATACTGATGATGATGGTCGCCCATGGTTCTTAGCATTTTCAGCCGCGCTGTCTCAAGCAACCATCTTTAAGTCTCTGTTCACTGGCCTTTGACAAAACTCGCACGGGATGAAACACTTTGCCTGCACTCCCACTGTCATCATCGTCGTCCGTCTCATCACTGTCAACATCAACACAATCAACACCAGCAGCAGCAGCAGCACCATCACCACCGTCGTGATGGCCAGTATCACCGCTGTCGTCATCATCGTCCTCCTGCTGGCATCATCATCATCATCAAGAACATCTTCCTACAGTAACGAAGCCATTGCAGCGTTCTGCTTATGATGCTTGCTTTGTCGCCTGACAGGCGTCAGGGCTTTGGAAGGCTCGGGAAGGCCCTCGTACATCGTCGCCGGCGGGTGCGCCTGCAGGGTATGAGCAGATGCTCAGATTGCTCTGTAAGAGGCAGAACGTCAGACATCGCCAGAGGAAATACAGGGCCCTGCCTGAGTGCGCTTCGTGGCCGGGTGTGCGTAGTAGAAGGCTCCGGGCTTGGATTTGGAAGCCACACGGACCCAGCCCGGGGGCAGAGGCATCGTCTGCAGCTTGGCCTCCAACTGCGCCTGGACGCGCTTCTGCCTGGACTTCTCGCCTGAATTCAACCCAGCTCTCGCACAAACCTCTAACAGAAGGCACTCATCTAGATCAGGCTAGCGGCGCAGCGCATCCCGCTTGTGTCTGGAGCTCTTGGGGTCAGCATTCTTTCTCGCATGCTCTTTGGCATGCTCTTGATGCGCCTCCTCCACGACCTACAGCAACCCACACGAACAATCCAAGCCAGCACAGGTCAATATTGCGTAACTCCATGTGCTCTTCTGAGGGCCCGGGCAACGGCCTCCGAACCGGAGGAGCAATCGTCTGCATCGTCGATGACTTCCATGGCAGCTCCGCCACAGAATCATATCCCAAGAAAAGGAAATAAACAAACAGCAAGCTTTCATCATGGACTCAACTGACGGTAGATCAACATTGGCTTCTTGCACCTGTCGTTTCTTCTGGGTCCTATTCCAACTCAACAATTGAATTCAATTCTGCTTGTCCTGTGCCCAGGTGATGTTCAGTGCAAGGAGCTCCTAGCACTGTTTTTTCGTCGTCTTGCAAGTGCCTAGCTTGGCCCACGATGAATTTGAGATCTCAGAACCCGCTGCAAGCGAAAAGATCATCCCGGTGGCCTCTGCGCACACTACGCTAGCATAAACTCGCTTCATTTGATACGTTTATTTCTGCTCGTTTGCTTGTTGTATCGATTTCGCGCTTTTCCTTTGCAGAGCACTGTGTTTGTGCAAAACGACCGAAAAAAGGTCAAACGAGCAATTACGTCATAATTATGTAGTGTTAACGGTTTCTTTGAAGGAAAAGTAATTATGTTTGCAGTGTCGATGCGGCCTGCCAAATCCTGGGTATACCGTGACTATGTCTGGGCTTTACAGTTTGCAGCTTGATGTGGCATGTGTAACTGATTCCTAGTTTACATACAATGCTCTTAACTAAATTATACCGATAAGATACAGTAGCAGGTATGCACACAAAATGTCTATATGTGATTTTTCACCTTCGTACAGGATTGCTGGGGCAAGTATCGGTGCCTACTTACGCACTGGGTCCACGGGGCTTTTGCAAAACGGGGTGGAGGTTCATGAGCATTGCCCCTCAGATCTTCGCAGCTTCCTCGATTGGAAACACCATCATGTTTATCGGGCTGAAGGTAAACATGGCCCCCTTTGGCAGCGGATGTTGGTTTCAAAGCTTAGGCTTGCAGGGCTATTGTGTAAATGCAGGTGCCGACGTCGTGGATGTGGATGTCGCCGCAAAGGCGGCAAAGGAGAAGGATTGTCTGCTGTCGCTTGCTGCCAAGTGATGCAAAGCATGACTTCCTAGTCAATGAACTCCCTCCTTCCTTAAACAAGAAGCGCCAATTGTTCTCCCACTCGTCCCAAACTTGTCGAATGAAAGAGGGCCCTTGACTTCCGAACTTGAATCCGAAGTCCGAGCCGCAAACGAGGGTTGTTCTTGGATGCGCAGGTGTTATCCCGTCAATTCTGTTTGTGTTCGGAAGGGTTTTTCGGATGTGGCGGAGCACAGTTTTCATTCTTGGTGTTTGGAAATGGTCTACGACTTGAAGTAGTTTTTGGAGGACATTCCGGACAGGTGTCCAGCTGAAGTCGCATACATGATGCTGATGAAGGCATGGGGACGGAGCCGATAAGGCGAACTTTGGACTGATGCTGGCTGGTTCTACTGCGATTCTTCTCGGAGGTGACCAGAAAAAACCATCTTTCGAGCAGCCGCTTGAGTTCGCGTCCGCGTTGCAACGCTTCCATGCGCTGGCACTCCAAGGCACTGGTCGGCGTGGCCGTTGAAATACATCTGCCTCGTGCACCTCGGGAAAATGATGGCTTAGACACGCGACACACGCGACAGTGGCAAGTGACAGTCCGCAGCATTGCAGTTAGGCGACGACACTGAAAATGCAAAGACAAAAGAAATGCCAAGCCAGGTAGAACGGACAGCACAAGCAGCACTCAATGAGGTCGCAGATGAAGTCCACCTGATGCACATGCGACATTCGCGAGTGAAAGAGCATGTGTTTATAGAAGAGATGGACTTACCAAGCGTGGTGGCGCTGAAAGCGCTTGGAGTGTGTCGTCGTCAGAGTCTCCTGCAGATGATGGAGATTTGCACTCCTCCTCGTCCATAGCTGCTTGACCCTTTTTGATACGTTGGTAACCTGAGAATCTGCGAATAGCTGCGGTATTCAAGACAAGGAAATGCTCATCAAGACACCTCAATGCATGCATGCATGCAGGAACGACGCTGACAGGCCACTGACAGTAAACAAGTGAGCGCCACCGTTCTGACGGCATCGACGTCGGCAACTGTTACGAAGAGACACCTGACGCTGGCAATATGGTCCACCATCGTAGAGGTGAAGGCCACGGTGCATGATTTGGTATTATGTACAATAAGGGACTATTCAATGAATACACTAGTATTCCGCTTTGCACATGGTTCAAGGGGTATGGAAACATGTCATGCGATCGCTCCAAACAAATGCACCCTAAAAGCTACAGCATGGAATACTTACCTGTCCTCCTTGCCTGCAGGGCCAAAAACAACAGCTAGGAAAGGAAATCGGCACAAGAGGCGAGCCACACCAAGATGTGTAGAGTGCAAGACGCGGTTACCTGAAGGTTTGCGGTCCAAGGTTGCAGGGCAAAGCTTTCTCGCTCATCGGCGCTTTCGCTGCAGCTGCGCCTAAACCCAGGGCAATCTGCAACAGCAAGCCGAGGCGCCAGCGTTTTGGTCATCCGCGTTTTAGTGCGGAGCGATCAAACTTTTTTTGGTCGCACCGTGAGCAGCAACATCCATCTGAACACAGAAATCACAATCTTCAAAACAGCCAATGCACGAAGAACGGCCTTTCCACACAGACAGCACTTCTTCTTCGGAAGCGCAGCGCGAAATGTCGAACCTGAGAAGATTTTTTGGAGCAGGCGCCAAAAAGACCAACACTGCAAAGGCATGTCTCTGCAGAATGAGGCTCTGGGCTCTGCCTTGGGATGCGTCTTTGGCAGCAAGCATCGTCTCGGCCTTCCCAGGGCAATCTGCAGCCTCTCCTAAGACCATTCACAAAGCGTTTTTTGGAGGAACCGGGGCTCAACATGGCTATACCCAGCCCCTTCCGCATCCCGATATGCTTGAGTCAAGTACAGTATTTGGCACCAGTTCATACACCCGTGCTGTTGCTCTGCGCGGTCCCATTCCTACGCTCAAGAAACCAACATCGAGCGGAGCAAGGTTGACTCCTTGCACAGCACGTCATCCATAAAGGCTCGTTGTGTGCACTGCTGTGCAACAACCTTCGGAAACATGACATGTTGCTGTAGCTTCTGGGTGACACTTAATTCTTGGTTACAAATTAGTTTATTTCCTGCTGATTCCTGTCGCCCTAAACATATGAGGGCATTCCGAAATAGAATATAAAAGATCAGATATATTCGCTATGAAAAAAGATATATCTGAAAGCAAAATTGCGCGAACACTCGGAAACCCTCCTTCTTTTGCAATGGGGAAAGGCAAAGGTCTGGCTTCGATCGCCCATCGCTCAAGCTGCGGCCCGTTTTGGTGGCAGCTAGTTGCTGAAAGCACGAAGTTGCTGAAAGCACGAATGGCGTCTAGAGAGTGGCCTCGCTACTTTGATCTACCCAACTTCTTCGAGACAGTCACTTCTGCGAATGTCGGCA